CACTCTTTCTGCACACATATTTTTCTTTTTCGAAAAATAAGACTAACGCTGAAAGTAATTTTTGGGGTAAAATTTCTTTTCATATGACTAAATCGAAAAATTAGTTGTGAATAATGTTGCCAGTAGCGGGCCTTTTAATATAAAATTAACCTTGCTTTTATGTTAAAACAACATTTCACAATTTAAATGAGAATTAATAATATCTCTTTCCCCTATAACACTAAGGGCCTATATGGCAGTAAAATGCCTCAATAAAAATATCTCTGCTCCAGGTACTTAATAATAACAGATTGTTTTCTACTGCCTCTACCTGTAATCCCTCCTTCCATCCGCTTTTTCTTTTTCTCTTTTTGTCTTCTGTTTTTGTTTATTCCGTTTGCATCTTTCTGGTTGGCTTTTTCATGCTGCATTGAGGCTATTTCCAGCTTGGCTTCTTCCTACAAAATCCAATTATATATTATGAGAAATTAGACCCAAAGACTAATAAAAACACTTATAGATGCAAAAACTTGAGTCTCTTGATTCATGGTCATTAAATGAATAAAAAGACTTCATGTAAACACATTCCTTTTACCTCCCACATAAAAGAACTCTCATCCAGAGGGATTTCATCTTCTTCTTTTGGCTGCTCCATTCTTGGAGCAGTCTCCCCTTCTACGGGTTCATAATCCGCACATTCTCTGAGAGTCATATTTATCATAAACAACAAAATCTAACTTACAAATTAATGTTATTGATGAATACATGAGAAATGCGAAGAAAACTTACGGAGCAAAGCCGAACATAAGCGTGAACCAACTATTGGCCTCAATATCCACAGGAAGGACTGTTGAATGTAATGTCTCGATCATATGTCTACTTTCTTCTTGAACAATTTGAAACGTGGTGATACAAAGATGTTGAACCTCATCACATTCTTCGTTAGTGGCAGTCTTAACATGAACGAAATCTTGGTTCCCCAGATGAACCAAATAGTCACTCACAAGTTCATCAAATTGCAAAGGCGGATCTGCAATCTCAAGGCCATTCAATTTTGACAATTGCACTAGTGAATATGTAATATCACCGTCATCATCTACCTTCCTCCTCAAGGAGTATGCTATAATCTCCGCCACACTAAAATGATTTAAGGCATATATAGTGTCGCCTACAACCACGGCCCTCCCTCGAAAATGAGTATAAGTGTCAACTTTCACTCGTTTCCAATTATTTCTAGCCACGTGAAAAGCAACGACATCCAAGTTTTGTTGCATGTCAGACAACGCATACAAAATAACGCCATAACAGACGGCATAACCAGTTACGCTCATGATAAATGGATAACAAAATGGAAACAAAGGCAGTCGCACCCAATCCTTCTTATCAGGATTGTATTTCCCAAAACCTAGACTCCGACTTCGTTCGAAGGGAAATTTTGATTCAAGAAAATAAAGTGTGCCATATGCCGACACAAATGTTCCACGCGGCTTAAACTGTACTTTAGAAGGTGGGAAGGGATCTAATGCCCCAGTTTTCGTATGAAAGATATGCCCTGCAAATGACCTAACGTAGGGTTTATCCCAACCCTCCTGTGTAAATACATAAAGTTGGTCGCGGTCGAAAATTCTTGCACCCTGAACGTTAAAACCACTGAATGTGGCTACACGTTTAGTTGCTCCTCCTCCGCCTAGATCATTAACTTCTCCTCCAAATCTGAATTTAACTTCATATATGGCACCGCTGTATTCGCCCCTAACGAAATTTACCATTAAAAACACAGATCTATCTTCCCCTGGATTTACTGTCATCCCCTCCATGGGCAAGCTGGACAGAGAAGAGAGATATATATAGAACAAGTCAAGTTAAGCTTTCCAAACAACTACCTACTTAGAGAGAATTAATGAATGAAGCATGGTCAAAAAATTTATTATAAAAAAAATATATTAAGAAGATGAAATCCCCTAGTAATCCATGCACTGACCTTGTGTAAGGATGAACGGCCCCACTGCCGGCCCTACTGGGGCGTAGTAGGCGAAGCTCATTCGATATTAATTTCTTCAAATCGAGCAGTTGGATTTGCTTGGCCAAAATCGGGGCTAGATAATTCTCGTTCTCCCCCAGTTCGCCCTGATAATTCTCCATCTCCCATATCCGGCGCAGTTCGCCCAGAGACCTCTCCATCTCCCATACCTTGCGCAGAGATTTCTTGATCTTTGATGTCTTGGCAAGGAGCTCATCCTGGCATGAAGCCATCGTCAAGGCATGGTCTTGACCCGAGGTGAGCTCAACGGCAGCGGCCATGATATTGGAAAGCAAAATTGAGGCAAAAGGGAATTTAGGGTTTGGGGATGCTGCGGCAGAAGGGAGTTTTAATATGGCTGGTTGTGGGTACTCTACGAAATATATACTGAAGCTTGGAATTCATCCAAGAGATCAATATGCTTTCATTCATCCGTAAAGTATGTATTTATATAATCACCTAATTAATATGCTAGAAACAGGAAACTTTCTTTCTTTCTTTTTTTTCTTTTATTTTTTTCCTGAGAAAAAACAGGAAACTTATAATTGTTTTTGAATATGTGCATGGTATATATATGTACGACTTACTTTTCTAATTTAGTAGGTAGTAGGTGTATTGACCGCTTTATTCAATTTAGTTTTCCTTTTTTCAAAATTTCTCTCTCTTTATTCTTTTTGGTTTCCCATTTCAAAATTCCTAGTGTTACCCGTTTGTTTATTTGTTACCCTTTTTATGATTTCTTTTGGCTTTGCTGGTGCGATTGGGTTTTAGGGCCAATTGAAGAAGATGTTTAGTTCAAAGCCCTATATAATTTACCTTCTTCTCTCCCTCGCCCTTTGATTTTATGGCCTCAGTGTAAAGCCCTATATAATTTACCTTCTTCTTTGATTTTATTGCCTCACTCTCGTTAATCAAAGGTGCTGGTGGACTGGATCTCCCTTTGACTCCATCGTTTTTACTTCATTGTCCAAGATAATCAAAGGTTACCTCACGCTTTCTCAGTTATATTTTAGTTTTTCTTTTCTTTTCTTTTGAACATTGTAGTAGTATTTTTTCTATTTTGTTAGAGTTGTGCATCTCAGTTTTCTTAGGATGCACACTGCTGTTTTCTTTTTTTTTTACCTTACTCTTCTTTTTCAGCTCAAGTGTTTTCTAAGGATACTGTTTGCAATGTCTACTTTGTTTGCTGGAGAAGATGCAATGTGTTTTATTAATATAAGTATTAAATATTTGTTCGTTTCTATCTTTTCTTGCAAATTACTTTCATTGCTAATAATTCTTTTCGATAAAATGGATGACCAGAGAGATTTATCTGTCTTTGTTCGACGGTTTCATGGTGGAAATAATTCAAAGGACAAGGTCATTGGTTCTAGGCTTTGTTATTACAGTTTCAAGTTTAATCTTACAATAATTTCTAAAGAATTGTATGAGGGGCATTTGCATTTATCTTTTTATCCTCACGGGGTACCGATAAATACGGTGTTTGTAAAAGTTGATCAAGTAGTTGCAAAAAAAATATTTCAAAGGACTTTTGCAGCTAATGATGGTATTGTTTTAAAGCCGTGGACATATGTGTTCTCCCAACAAAAGAAGAAGTTGTTTGGCGACTTGCCTAAGAAAGCAGATTTGAAGAAGGGAATCTAGACTCTATGTTATGATCGCTTCAAACACACTCTTGAAGATTGGACAAATCTAGCGAAGCCACAGCTTAAGGCTAAGGGAGTTGCTTATAATGATAAGCTTAAACTACCTATTGTTAATGTATGGTTTTTTGTTATTTTCTTTTGGCTTTCCTTGACAACTTTGTAATAGGATGTGTATTGTTATTTATCAAGCTCAAGTTTAGATTAAGGAAAACCTTTCTTGGTGTTCTTCTCTAACTTCTGTTCTATGGAGGATCAAGCAAGTTGACAAAGGTATTGTGCATTGCATATCATGACATTAAACAGTCTTCATAAAATGATGACTAGTCATCCTTGCTCTGTAGGATTTCCAGCTGGATAACAAACTGTTTTGTCATATTCTTCTTTCTCTCTCTCTGCTGCCATGTGGGTTTCTGACCTAAGGAATTTTTTGGTCTGTAAAGGCTACGATTTTGCTCATTTGGCGGCTGTCTCTTTTGGGTGGAAGTTTTGGAAAGATTGACTTGCTACTTCCTCAAGAGAGAACCAA